TTCCCTACAAAATCTCCAGCAACCAGAAGAACAACATTCACAGTGGTTTCAACCACACTGATAGATCATTTCTAGCTAACGTCATTATCGGCACGAGGGTATTGTCCTAAAAAACATGGCCATGTCTGAAAATTTCCTAAATCCATCATTTTTTTTCTCCAACGAAGTCAAACAGGTAATCAGCGAAAAATCGAGCATGATGATTCATCAGAAACCAGATAGGGCTACTTCTAAAAATAGGACTGGGAACGTAAAATCGGAACAATTAGAGAACCGATCAGATCCCAAAAAAATCTGCATCAGATTTTCACAGGACAAAAGTCAACAAAAACCACCGGATTTAGCCAAATATCAGGGGAAACATGAAGATCCCCTTGCATGTGATAGTCGTTTCGTTAAACACCCACATGGATTAAAGCGACACAGACGGAGAGACTGAGAATCGGACAGAAAAAAGATGAGCAGACATAAGCGATCGAAACCAGAAAAGATTGTCAAAAACATCGGGTTATCAGACAGCGAGAGACCTCCGATGACATCCAATCTCACCTTGTTTTCCCCCTTTAACAGGACAAGAGAGACCGAGAGAAACCCATTTCGGCAGAGACTTCGGCGGAGAAGGAGATCAGTTTTCAGACAGATCTAGTAGAGAGTGTTCGAAGCGAGTGAAGAAAAAAGGAGGAGAATTTTCCGAGAAAATCTGGCAGAGAGGGAAAAAAACAACCTTTAGCCCTTTAGAGAGAGGAAATGGCGAGAGCTTGTTCTTCCCCATCTCCATTTACCAAGATCTGCTCTCATTAGAAAAGTACAACACCCAAGGAAAATTTTAAAATAATAAAAAAATAATAATTTCTTCGTGAAATAATAATCTTTTTCCTCAGAATTTTTATTAAATTTCCCTATCCAATAGAAGCATATATTAAAATTTTAATATAAAAAAGGGCAAGCCCTCTGAGACCTTCCTCTTACCCTTCCCCTCGAAAATTAACTCTTACCACGAACCAGGGGTACAATGGTCAATTAACATACGGATTTGCTGAGCTGTCACGTTACGATTCGCTGAACTGGGATAGTGGACAGATATGTAGTCGTAAATAACATTGTCCAAGGGTCAAATTCTCAGGAAAGTCCACTTACATTAATTCACCTTCGCGAGGAGCTAGGATCAGCTGTATCAGGGCACACTGGATTATATACGTCACTTGCTGACGTGGTGATAAACGATTGGATTTACTGTTTCGGACATATCCCCTTCACCGAAATCTCTAGACGCTCCGGTTTCCACATCAGCATTCCACATTTCCAAATATACCCCAAGGCAAAATTATGAGAAGGCGATTTTGCCCTTTACAAGATCCACTCGTGGGGGGACACGTGGGCGCGTCCGAGCAATCAGAGACACGAGCTTTTTACTTCGACGAGAGGTTTGTGAGGGGATGGTTTTACCGGTGAAACCGGTGAAAAGGTCGGGGGAATGGAACGGTTAGGTGAACGAAGGAGAGCGGGAAGAGCCGGTGGCCTGAAACGGGCGTGCGCGAAGAGGATTATAAAACCAGATTTAAGAAAGGTAACTGGCGTCCACCAAGCGTACGGCAGGGAGCGGACGTGAGATATAGGAGTTAATTTCAGTTAAGTGTGGAATCAAATCACAACAAATAAAAATAAAAGAAATGTGGACCATGGTTCAGGAAAAATAAAATAATATTGGCACCTAAAATTCCAATAACGCAAAAAGTTTATATAGAAAAAAAAGGATAAATTACCAAAGGAGTGTGTAATCTATATCCAATAGTTATCCCAAAAACCTACTTATTTCCGTAAGTTATTTATTTATTTATTTATTTGTTAAAATTAAGTTATTTATTTTTATAAATCATAATAATTATTCATTTAGGTTCATTAAATTTGTTCTATAATTATAATAATATATTATAGTTATCCCTTTATAGAAAATATATTATTTTCAATATACCATTCTAACTTATATACTATAATATTTTACTTAAAATTTCTCAATTTCTAACCTCAAAAATTATAAAAATATCATGTTATATCTTAGTACCATCATCTTAATAATATTTTAATTTTATTTGTAATGCTATAATTTTAAATAAATTATATCGAACATATAATTTAAATATTAATAGTTTTCATCTCATATTAAAAAACATATCTACGTCATTTAGCCCTTGACAAGATACACATTGTCGTCTACTTCGGAGTAACTTGATGAACAACTCGAAACCCTTTTTTTAATAAAAAAAAATACTAATATAAAAAAATCCCATCTAATTTAAACTTAAAGAGGAAGAGCAGAAAATACTAAATAATAAATAAATTTTGGAAACACAAAATAAAACATATAAAAAATACTAATAGAAATTTTAAAATGCTGCTTAAAAGAATGTTGTGCATAATTTTGATGAAATATATATACATATACATATATATATATATATATATATGAAAACGTCGATTTATTGTCTACGGGGGACGGGGTGTTGAGTAATGCCAAGAGAGAAGGTCCCTTATCATGTGACTCGTTTTCAATAAGCTCGGTGTGATGTGGACATGGTACAAATTCTTCGTATTGTACATAGACGATTTTTAATATTAAAATTATTGAAAAATAAATAAATGGAAAAAAAAAAGATAGAGATGCATGTACATCTATTTTTGTATTTAAGATAAGAAAACATGGTCCTCTATCTACAGACCGCTAAGTTTCCCAATGTACGGATCTTTCACTAAGATTAACCTAGGAGATAGAAAGATTGATGTCTTTTTTTTGGTATGACTAGTTGGTTGTCCCTCGGCCCGTTGATTGATTTCATTGGCTCAGCTGATCCTCGACTGTTGCGATTACCGAAAATGACTAAGGTGGCAGATGCAATACAGGACGGAAGCTGGAGTTTGTCGGGTGCGCGAAACGACCACATCCAGCAACTCCACATTCTCCTACTACAGACTGATCCACCGAGGCCTAATGCAGGTCCGGACATATGTTTGTGGCGATGTACAGACGACGACTATAAACCTAGTTTCAAAACAAAACAGACATGGGAGCTTTTCGAACCCCGGGAACTATTGTTGGATGGCATAACTTGGTGTGGTTTAAGAAATGCATCCCGCGACATACTTTCTTAGTTTGGCAGATTTTTCACTGGAGGCTACCGACTATGGACAGGCTGGCTAGTTGGGGGATCCTCGCACCGAATCGTTGTATTCTCTACTGTCGGGAGGAAGAATCACACGAGCACCTCTTCTTCTCTTGTGACTTTAGTGTTTCACTGTGGCATTTTTTCGCAAGAAAATTGAGGGAAAACCCTCCCACGGGCATATATGGCTGCCAAGCTTGGCTACATGCTGGTCATGAGCCCCGATCACATATTCACCTCATCATGAAGTTACTTACGCAACTTGTGGCGTATGAGCTTTGGAACGAACGGAACGGTCGCATCCATCGGGAGATGATCCACACCGTCTATCACCTCCGACACAAGGTAGACAGGTCGATGAGAAGTATCCTATACTCACTGCAGAGTCCGACGAATACAATCATGAACGAATATCTCCAATATTAGTATCGTTTAAATTAGGTCACTGGTTCTACTTTTGCCCGCTTTGCGTATGAGAATCCCTTTTTGTATAGTTTAGTTTTTTGTAAAACTCTAATTGGTCGGGAAGTAATACAAGCACATCTTATAAAATAAAAAAAAAAGTTTCTCAATGTATTTGACCGCGTATGAACTAAATTCTAAATCCTTTTCTTATAATTAAAAAAAAGAGTTTCATATTCATTTATTAAATTTAAACTTGACCTACCAATTCTTCTAATGGGCAGTCGAAATTATTTTGTAAAAAGTCGAAACGCGTTTTTATTTCAAATCATATCAAATATTACCTGTCATATGCATACATATATATACATACACGGTCCTTTAATTATTATTTGTAATCCTCGTACAAACACAGTTAATGAGTCGTTATTTATTTTTTGGTTGCGTTCTTATTCATTAAGCATATTTTATTTTATTTTATCTTATCTTATCTTATTCATCAATATTATAAAAACATAGGAATTTATACTCGGAAAGACTTATCCAAACACGAAGCCATTAGTGTTGCAACATTATTTGAGCTTTCGACACTTGGCATCAGTAGAGCGATCGAGTCTTCGTCGCAAATAAAGAAAAAAGTATTAATCGACACAATGATCACGAGACTGTGGTGATGTCTGGCAAGACATGTACAATGGAGGATGGACGTGATTATACCTGACAAATATCAGCTTTTTCTATATTACTTTTTCCTTACATGTTCGTTTGTTATTTTGTATAGGTAGAGTAGCAGACTTAGCCTTTTTCTCATTCGTTTGTGTATATAAATACATATTGTACTATTCTTTAAGAATTAAGCAGAAGCTTTTACAAACTTGTCTCCTCTCGAGTTTTTCTCTCAAAGTTCTTCAATGGCTTCTGCAAATTTGGGTTTTCTGATAAACACCGAAATGGTATCAAAGCTCTAATCTTTTCTTCCGCTCTCTGTTTCCCTTTTTTTTCCAGATTTCTGATTTTACGTCGTCTCTTTTTTTAACCCTGTTTTTTGGTTCTACATCTGGTCTCCGAAACCCTACCTTTTTCTTTTCATCTTCTTTTTTCATCATGGCTGATATCTCTCCTTCTCACTCTTCATCCACCTCCACCATAAACAACATCAACCATACCCAATCACCCACAAATCCTTACCCATACTCTAATCCCTTGTTTCTTCATGTGGCTGATAGTTCTAGCCTCACCATTGTTTCTGAGAAGCTTACCGGAGAACTCAACTATAATCTCTGGTCTCTTTCAATCACTAAAGCTCTTCTCGCCAAGAATAAACTCGGTTTTATTCATGGCAACCTTCCCAAACCCCTTGAAACCCACCCTGATTTCGGAGCCTGGTCCAGATGCAATGCTTTGGTTGGGCACTTGGCTGGCAAACTCGGTATCCTCTGATATCGCCACCTTGTTGCTATACATTGACGACGCATATCTCATTTGGCAAACCCTGGAAACGCGTTTCAAACAGAAAAATGTTTCCAAGATTTTCCATGTTGAACATAAACTGGAATCCTTGCAATAGGGGTCCATGGATCTGAACACCTTCTTCACCAAGCTCAATGCTCTCTGGGAGGAACTTAAAAACTACGAACCATATCCGGTTCGTACGTGTCAAGGCTGCACTTGTCAGGCAACTTCAAAGTTTGTGAACTCGTCGAACGTCGCAATATCGTTTAGTTTCTCATGAAACTCAATAAATCTTACTAGCCTGCTCGCCGACAAATCTTGATGTTGGACCCTCTCCCGAACATTTCCAAGATGTATAATCTCATAGCTCAGGAGGAGCATCAGCGTATGGCTTCATCTCCGATTCCTGAGTCTGCGGTGTTCCAAACCTTCACCAACCCCTCCTCTCGTTCCAGATCCGGTCAGTCGAACACCTTCTCATCTAGACCACGACCAATATGTGCTCACTGTGGGTTAAAAGGGGCACACTATTCAGCGCTGCTACAAGATACATGGATATCCAACAACTTCACGTCTGCCTAGTTCCAAACCAACGTTGTTGCCGACACCAACAATCTCACCCCCAGTTTCGCAAAAGGAATATGTCAACCTGATGTCTTTAGAGTCAGGGCCTCTTTCCCATGTCTCGCCAGCAACAACTCTTTCGAGTCCTATGGAACAGGCGCAAGTCCTTTTTGACCAGTTTCAGAGCAAACTCAAACTCCTTGGTGGCTCTACTACTGATTCAGACTTGGTAAAACCCTCTACTCTTCTCCTTCATCAGGTATTTTCATTTCCCCTTTACATACCCATGTTTTCTCTTTATCCCACCCTTCTATTACCTCTTCTTCTGGTTTCTGGATAATGGATTCTGGGGCCACAACTCATGTATGATGTGATTTACGTATGTTTGCTGATGTTCAATCTATTTCTCCCATTTTGGTTACTCTACCAAATGGGACTCTGTTAACTGTAACTCAAACTG